CGGTATCCAAAACCGGCTACGCGTGCATTCTAGCTTTCCGTACTACGTGGGGATATTCTATCTAGAGGAACTGAGAGCACATAGCAGAAATCTGATTGCAGATTCGGATTCCTCACCCCTGAAAGCCCCCGAGTACAAATTTTCATTTTTCTAGCTTACTTCGTTGTAATTTTACGTTAACGTATTTTGTATTGTCGCGTAGGCGTGACAGAAAAACGGATGGACGTTTTATTGCTTGAAATGCTTGAAATGCTGCCCAAGTTTCTCGAAAAACTACTTGATTACGCCAAGATTACGGTAGAAAGGTTACGTTTTAGCAAAACATATGGCCAGACTCGTACAATTGTCAAACATTTGATAACTAACATTAGTGCAAAGCTAAATAAATCTTTGTTTATCAAATTTTCCGTTAGCAAACGTCCAATAACGTCCAATCCTTTCAGAATTTTTGCCACCTACTACATTTGGAACTACGAAGACTCCAAGAAAACGCACGTCTCGAAAATCGTCTTATCCCTCTACTTTTTCTTTGCCATATTCTCCTCAATTGCTATGCCTCTAGGTTTAATTTAGTGAATCACATTTTTCGTAATTAGTACGACTAGTAGTTGGCCTGCTTTGGCTAAACATTTACATTAACTTTCCAGCGTATCCTGTCTATCCAATAGTAATTAGTACGACGAGTAGTTTGTCTTTTTTAGCTAAACATTTACACTAACTTTCCAGCGTATCCTGTCTATCCAATGAAATCAATTATTATCGCACAGAGCATTTATTCTCTGGTGACAGCGGCTCTCTTTACGGTAAGTGTTACAGTTTTTCGAAAATACACTCTTGTAACCTAAAGCTAGCTATAATTTAAGAAACGCTGGAGAAAGTGAACTTTGTTAAGATTCACCAAGATACTGTGTTGAGACTAGACTTTTAACAAAAACAGCTGTCGGTCCTTTTTTGCCGTTGACAATTTAAGGTTTTTTTTTTGTGTTTTTCTCAGCACCAATCCTTTTATTTTGACTATTTTGATTATCATTCGATGCAGAATCAAATCCCGCGTCGAATGATACAAAAAACAACTCAAAATATAATATCCATGCAAAGTTATTGGCTCAAGCCTAAACCCCGCCTATTATGAGCCGGACTTAACCATTTGCCTCATAACTTTGCATGGATATTACATTTTGAGCTGTTTTCGGTATTATTCGACGCGGAATTTTATTCTGCATCGAATGATAATCAAAATAGTCAAAATAAAAGGATTGGTGGTGAGAAAAAGACAAAAAAAACCTTAAATTGTCAACGGCAAAAAGGACCGAGAGCTATTTTTGTTAAAAGTCTAGTTGAGATTGTTCTGACAAACTTTCTAAACTCTTCCAAATCTTAGCTCAAAACTCTCCAGCTTATTGTCTTTTCAACTCATATTCATTGGGGAATTTTTAGATCTATTGGCGTTTATGGGTTTACAATCACGATGTCTTCAAAGTGCTTTCCGATATGCAATTCGGTGAAAAGGGTTACACACTCGGTGTCAGATTTCAAGTTGAGGAGAATATTCGAGCGATGAAGGTAAAATAGTAAACACAACTTTTCTGGTACACTCAAATCGCATTTAAATAAAATTACTGTAGAATTCAAGTGTACTAGAAAGGCTTTTGTTTCGAGTAGAAAAGTCGGTACTTGTCGGTTATACATTCACAGAGACTGAGCATCCCCATCCGAGACTTCTCGGTTATCGATTTTCGTTCGACTGTTAGACTGATCACTTCAGACGAGCACTTCACTGAACTCTACTTCACTGGACATAAGCACTCCTCACAAGTTGTCAGCTTCTTGCTTAACCGAGATGGGTCTGTGTGGATGTATAACCGACAAGTACCCAATAGTGAATCAAGCCAACAGAAACTTGACATTTTTACTGAAGCATTTCAATGCTAAACCATAGCTTTTTTGACATGAAAACCGTAAGTAAACAGTCATGAAAACAGCCATGAAAACAGCCATAAAAACTGGCTGCTTACCTACGGAAGTTCTTTTAAATAGATGTCTTTTAGAAAAAACCCTTCTGATCATTAGCACTTGGCTTAAATAAAGACCAAAAGATATTTGATTGAACAAAAGTGAGTCAAGCTTCAACAGAAACTTGACATTGTTACTGAAGCATTGAAGCAAGGCTAAGCCAAGCAACTGAAGCAAGGCTAAACCAAGCAACTGAAGCAAGGCTAAGCCAAGCAACTGAAGCAAGGCTAAGCCAAGCAATGAAGCAAGGCTGAACCAAGCAACTGAAGCAAGGCTAAACCAAGCAACTGAAGCAGGCTAAGCCAAGCAACTGAAGCAAGGCTAAACCAAGCAACTTGATATTTGATTGAACAAAAGTGGGCACTTGTCGGTTATACATCGACAGAGACTCATCTCGGTTAAGCATCCCCATTCGAGTCTTCTCGGTTATCAATTTCCGTTCGACTGATCGACTGATCACTTCAGGCGAACACTCTACATCACTGAACATAATCATCCCTCAAAAGTTGTCAGCTTCTTGCTTAACCGAGTTGAGTCTCTGTGAATGTTTAACAGAAAAGTACCGAAAAGTTCACCAATTAACATCAATTCTCAGCTTCTCCGCTGTTTTGTCATTTTCAACACCGTTTTCATCTTTATCAATTGCTTCTTCGGGATCATGGCTTTAGAAGTTTTTGATACGGAAACACCGGGCGGTCAACTCATTTTACAAACTTTTGATTTATTAATCGCTGTGTAAGTTGAAATTTCGATTACAAATTCGATTTTAAAGACAAAAATGGTTTTAGATACACTTTATCGATGCTTGTAATATGTTTGTATTACGTTGATGAATGGGGTGAACAATTTTTGGTTTCATTTTTCTCAATGATCGGTCGAAATATGCAGGGAAACGCGAAAAATGCAGTGAAACCGCTGAACTCCGTCCAGGAAACCGATTTCTATTTCAATTATTATCGGCAAAGTTGGTGAATAAAGGCTAATCTAATGGGGAATTAAGTCGACCAGAAAGTGAGCGTTTACATCTTTTTAAAGCATTTCAAAATGTAAACAAATCTCTATTTTCTGTTTAAACAAGTAGCTGAATACAGAGAGTGCGTAAAAAGTGAGGAATTCAATTGCGCGTGCTTTTTTAGGCCGATTTCTATTTCAATTACATTTTGTTTCTAGTTTCCTGACCAGATAACTTTCCTTTTTTGAACTATTATTTTGTTTTTTTGTTTAATTTTATTACTTTCTTTCTTAAGATAACTATTATCTTAGGAATTCGCGAGGAATCTTGCCAGGAATGCGTGCGTGGAATCTCGTGAGGCTTATGCGAAGAATCTTGCGAGGCTTTTGTGCGTGGAATCTTGCGAGGCTTATGCGAGGAATCTTCGCGAGGCTTGTGCGAAGAATCTTCGCGAGGCTTGTGCGTGGAATCTCGTGAGGCTTATGCGAGGAATCTTGCGAGGCTGACACGAGGAATCTTCGCGAGGCTTATGCGAGGAATCTTGCGAGGCTGACACGAGGAATCTTCGCGAGGCTTGTGCGTGGAATCTCGTGAGGCTTATGCGAGGAATCTTGCGAGGCTGACACGAGGAATCTTCGCGAGGCTTATGCGAGGAATCTTGCGAGGCTGACACGAGGAATCTTCGCGAGGCTTGTGCGTGGAATCTCGTGAGGCTCACACGAGGAATCTTGCGACCAGCCATTGAGCGTCTATCAAAGTTCAATAGTTAGCAAATGGCCGAACAACTCGCCATTCCTCGCCGTTTACAATTGCCTAAAGAGGATCTAGCTTATCACTTCCGCAAACGATCGCCCACGTTCACGCCAAAAACAGCCAGTACTTCAGGAATTGTCAAACGAATCCGAGAAAAGAGAAAGGAACTTTTTACACAAACTGCAGTATGCTAGAAATGGTGTGTGTACATCCTTTTTTTGAGCACAAAGTACACCACAAACTCACAGCAAACACCAACAAATAGTCTAATGAATATAAAAATGCTTGAAGTGCATTTTAAAGTACTCAAAAAATGCCAAAGTAATCTATAATGTTGATCACAAAATTGTAACAAATAAATTTACATAATTCCCATCGAAAAGACGATTTCCTCTTTCTTTTTCCCAATCTCACGTTCAATCGATTGCCTTTCACGGGTTTTTCTCTTTCTTTTTCACCTTTCCATGATAAATTGGGTGTCATTTTCGTATGTAAAACTGAAAATCGCTTTCTTATTTGCATAAAATAAAAGTTTTCATTGTAAAGTCGAAAAATCAATGCAAAAATCTTACTTCTAATCAAAAGCAGAAAGGCAAAAGGGGAGTGATTCGTTCGTATTTGTCATCGCTCTCTTTTCCCGTTCACCTTTTCTGTAGTGTTTACCTTGGTACCCGCTTTCTTCTCCTCAAACCAATACGAGAGGTCAACCCTTGTTTTTCTTCTTTATTTATTGAATATATCTATTGAAGAGCTTTATTTATTGAAGAGCTTTATTTATTGAATTTTATCGATTGAATATACAGTAAACTCTCTCTATAACGGTACTTTAGCGAATATAGCGAAAAATATTATATAAAGGAATAGAATTTTGGTCCCAGCCGACGCTAAGCTAGATAAAACGGCACTCTATATAATAGAAACATTTTTTGGTTCGTTCCATTTCGTTTTAGAGAAAGCCGAGTGTATTTGAAGATTTTATTCATTTATCCATTTATATTCATTCATTTATCCATTTCATCCATTTATCCATTTATCCATTTTACCCATTTATCCATTTTATCGATTTTATCCATCTATTAAAGCTATCTATCTATTTTTTTAAGCTATAATTAAAATCCAAATCTTCCTGTTCCTTGTTTTGCAAGCGTAATGATGAAAACTTTGGTTTCTCCCTTTCAAAAATGATTTTTCGACTTTCATTCAAACTTTAGTATCCATTTTTCTTAACATTCCTCGTTTTCGAAACATTTTTTCAATAAAGCTAACATTTCAGTGATTCAAAATGAGTAACAAAACGAAAAGCACATCTCCGTCTTCAAAGAAAATCGATAAAGAGGTGAAATATCGAATTTCTTATGCAAATTGATGATTTCAAATTGATTTCAGAATCGATTAGAGGCAAAAACCCTACTTTCGACCAAAGCCGTTCTCCTCTCTTTGCTCTTTTCTCTAATTTTTGCTTCAGCAGGCACATATTTATTTGCAAAGCCACTCATTGATCCGGTTGCGTACAGGTAAAGCATTTAAAAAGATAAAAAAAAAGATTTGAAAGTTTAAATTACTTGTATTTTTTAAAGAAATGAACTAAAATGAACAATCTCTGATTAGTAGAAAAAGCAGAAAGCACTAAATTTTTCTTTTTAAGTTTACCTGAAGTGCCAGTATTTGAAGGTGGCTTGAAAAGAAATGAGAAGCTGGGCAAAGCGGAGAAGTTACTCTTGGATCAAGTCAGTTTTTAGGCTGCATTTTTTTTTCATTGCATTGCAAAAACTTTTCCTTTTCTTTTGTTTATAGAAAGGAGCAAATGAAAGAATTCTTAATGGCTTTTTGTTTGTTTCATTTTGAGGTTTTGATTCGATCATTTTGACTATTAAAGATCTGTGCACAGATGAGAGATTTTGAAGCTCTTGAAGTTTTGAAGCTTTTGAAGAATTTTGAAATTCAAAAGCTAGATTAGAGGTTTTGACTCGATTTAATCCTAACATTTAGCTTTTATTTTCTAGAAGTAAATAAGTAGATGTATTATGTTTTAATTCTAATTTAAAACTCAGAACACTTTCCTTGCAAAACCATGATATTGGTCATTTTCAATTGGGTGTCATTTTCGTATGTGAAACTGAAAATCGCTTTCTTATTTGCAAAAAATAAAAGTTTTCATTGTAAAGTCGAAAAATCAATGCAAAAATCTTACTTCTAATCAAAAGCAGAAAGGAGTAAATGAAAGAATTCACTGCTTTTAGATCAGTGATGGGTTTTTGTCTGATTTTGAGGTTTTGTTTTGATCCTTTTGACAATTAAAGATCGGTGCACAGATCAAAGACTAGATGAGAGGTTTTGACTCGATTTAACCCTAACATTTCGCTTTTATTTAGCTTTTATTTAGCTTCTAGAAGTAAATAAGTAGATGTGTTCTGTTTTATTTCTAATTTAAAACTCAGCACTTTTCTTGCAAATCACTGATTTTAGATCCCTAGTCCAATGAATATAAAAATGCTTGAAGTGCATTTTAAAGTACTCAAAAAATGCCAAAGTAATATATAATGTTGATCACAAAATTGCAACAAATAAATTTACATAATTCCCATCAAAAAGACGATTTCCTCTTTCCTTTTCCCAATATCACGTTCAATCGATTGCCTTTCACGGGTCTTTCCCTTTCTTTTTCACCATTCCATGATAAATTGAGTGTCATTTTCGTATTTCAAAAACTAGATGAGACAAAAACTTCAAAGAATGGTTTTTGTTTGTTTAATTTAGAGGTTTTGATTCGATCATTTTGACAATTAAAGATTTGTGCACAGATCAAAAACTAGATGAGAGGTTTTGACTCGATTTAACCCTAACATTTTGCTTTTATGTTCTAGAAGTAAATAAGTACACTACTGGACAATGAAATATGATATTTGAAAAACGATCGTCACTTTCGCGCGTCTGTAGCTCCCTTGTCTTTACCGTATTTCTAAATATTAATATTACCATTGTGTAGCCCTTGAAAAGAGCTTTCAGAAAATGTATAACACTAATAGTTTAAACTCAAAGACAAGGGAGTTACAGACGCGCGAAAGTGACGATCGTTTTTCAAATATCATATTTCATTGTCCAGTACTGTAGATGCATTCTTTTTTATTTCTAATTTAAAACTCAGAACACTTTTCTTGCAAAACCCTGCTTTTAGATCTATGGCCCAGAATCCTTAGCCATTCATCCGATCACCGGCCATTTATGGGCTGGCCTAAAGACTGGGTTGATCTGTGAGATTGCGATTGGCTTTGATGAAAAGGTAAATAGATATAGTTTCAAAAATAATTATCGCTTGAAAAACTAGAAAATTTATAAAGCTATATTTTCTTATAACAAAATTGAGTATTTTGTCGGTTATACCCCACAAACATTTGATTAAACAATTATTAAACATATAAACAAGTCAAATTAGCATAATTATGTATAGTTCAAGGGTTAAAGATGCTCAAGCAATACTTCTAGACTAACTTACAATAGATGTAGCTAAACTTTGACCACGTAAAACAGTAGTTTGATGCTAATTTAGTTGATTAATAAGGCTTGTGGGGGTATCACCGACAAGTACCCATTCTTGTTTCTTGGGAATTCACGTAAATTGATTTGAAGATAGTCCTTTAATTCAAAATTGAATTAAAGCACTATCTTCAATTTCATTCATTCATTCATTTAACAAGTTTGAATTTAAATTTGAATTTGAATTTGAATTTGAATTTGAAACAGTCCCTACAATTTTTCTCTTCTTGTGTTCAAGTTTACTGGGTCATTTTGTCAATTAAACATGTTCCGTTGTCACTTTTTCATGCTTAAATGATTAAAGTAATGATATTGATAATAATAATAATAAGAACAATAACGATAATGATAATGATAATAATAATAATAATAATACCGTATTTTCTCTAATAGCAGTGCACCCCGGAGAGCTGAGTTGATGCCTATTTTACCGTTTCCAAGCTTTTGCATAAGCTCAACACTCAAATCCCCCAAAAGATCTCATCGTCAGCTACATTTTCCGACCCCACATCGATAGGTTCTAATAAGCGGTTCTCGAGATTTCGAGGAATTTAGACAAACGCTCCGGGTGCACTACTCTATTAGAGAAGTATCTAAAACCAGCTACGCAGTCTAGCTCCTCAAATCTGCAGTAACTCCACATTTTCGTCCATTAATTTATGTGACACTTGTGACTACCGTATTTTCTCTAATAGCAGTGCACCCCGGAGAGCTGAGTTGATGCCTATTTGACCGTTTCCAAGCTTTTGCATAAGCTCAACACTCAAATCCCCCACAAGACCTCATCGTCAGCTACATTTTCCGACCCCACATCGATAGGTTCTAATAAGCGGTTCTCGAGATTTTGAGGAATTTAGGCAACGCTCAGGGTGCACTACTATTAGAGAAAATACGGTAATAATAATAATAATAATAATAATAATATCAACGATTTTCAGGTGGAAATCAAGCGAGCCGTCAGTTTGACGAATTTCACCGATTGTGATGGATCGTATTCGTAAGCTTTTCTCACTTATTGCGACTTTCCGCCAAGTTTTTATTCTGTCATAGCTGCGGAATGTGTACATAAAATAGGCAAAATGTTCTATAAAGTTAATTTCCAGCACTCAACCCCGTTGTGGGCGCCCGCTTGGGCTCCGAATGACCCCAAAAGGAGAGCTATTAGTGGCCGATGCCTACTTGGGATTGTATATAATCGATTTGGATAAAGGTATCAATTGAAATTTTGAATAAATTCTAGTGATCGATCTTTAGAAAAAGTCTCTAAACTATTCGGGAGTGGCTCGGAAGTGGGAAACGATTTGACGAGGCCCACTCGGTATCTCAACGACTTGGATGTGTTGCCCGATGGAAGGATTGTGGTTTCGGGTAGGGTTTAAATGAAAATTTATTGCTATTTCTCTTAGTTGTTGTCTTTATTTTCTAAATTTGATAGATTCTAGACAAATTAAAGACAAAACATGTACAAATTTACATAAAGGAATTACCAAAACTAGCTTGGTGAGTCAAAATATCACTGCTTATCGTAATTTTGGAGTTGAAAACCCTTTGAAGTTTTGCTTTAAACTTACGAGATAAAGGAATACATTCAAATACATTCAAATAATTAAATTTTAAAATAAATAGCAAACTTTTCAATAGTTTAACTTTCTTGTAGATCTTTTCATTTTCAGAAAGTAGTCATCGCTTTGATGATCGTGATTTCATTCTTGATCTCTTCGAGCATCGACCGAATGGAAGGTTTGTTTGTTTGTTTGTATTAGGTAAATGCATAAGAAATTCGCAATTTCAACATTTGCATAAATTTCCAACGATAGAAACCTGATATCAAATGAATGTTGTAAACTATTGGGTTGATGCATAATTATCCGGACTTCTTTTATAAATGATTTTATTTAACAAAAAATAACATAAATAGTTAGAAAAATATGTTTAATTGATTATTCTGGAGCATATTCACCGCCTACATCAATAACTGATTGCCATTTGCTTGGAAGACGATCGATTCCACGAGCGAAGAATAAACGATCTTTGGAGGCAATCCACGCTTTAACATCGTCTATCAAGTCATCCAAATCGTTGTAGATCTTATTTGTTTGCCAATTTTTGAGCGATCGATTGACGTGGTAGTCCGTTGGGGCTTCTCCAGTTCTTTGAGATCGCGAAACGACTCTGCGGCAGACCATCCCTTTTCGAAGTGGTAGAGCATGATATGGCGAAGATGGATATGATTGTCGACACGCATTTTGTTCACTAAAGAATAACGAATATTTTAAAAAAAGAAATAGACAAAAAGCTTTCAAAACAAAAAAGATACAAGCACGCAAAAAGAAGTCCGGATAATTATGCATCAACCCAATATTTGAAAGTTGTAAATCTCCTCTACAAAATAGGCTAAAGCGTGTTTCAATTGATCGAACCATTGAAGAAATTTTCGAGGCCGAAATGCGAGTGACCAAAAAAGGAATCGAGTCACTTTAGGGACAAGTTTAGTGTGCTCAAAATAGAGTTAGCTTCCCAAAATTGAAGATTTAAACCCCACTTTTACAAGAGTTCGGTTTTGACTATATAGTGGAAAATGAGCGCCCTAAAATCATTCAAATATCATTCAAAATAATTCAGAGTTGGGATCATTTCATGGGAAAACTTTGTTTTTACAATAATTTTTCTTTTTTGGTGAAAAAGCCGGTTTTTTGACGATTTTCAGGGGTTTTGAACTTATGCTCTATCTAAATTTCTGTAAATGCATTTCCGTTAGACTTTTTTTAATGAATTGATATATAGTTATCCTTTTTTTTTTAAATCTTCAATCTTGGGAAGCTAACTCTATTTTGAGCACACTAAACGTGTCCCTAAAGTGACTCGATTCCTTTTTTTGGTCACTCGCATTTCGCTCACGAAATTTCTTCAATGGTTCGATCAATTGAAAAACGTTTTAGCCTATTTTGTAGAGGAGATTTACCACTTTCAAATAGTTTATAACATTCATCGATATTAGATTTCTATCGTTGTGAAAATTGGTTTCTATCGTTGGAAATTGATGAAAACGTTGAAATCCGCATTTCTTATGCATGTACCTAATATTTTGTTTGTACTAATAACGATTATTTTTCATCTCTCAAGCTTTTAAGGACTTTTTTTCTTTGCTTATTTTGCAGATAGCTTTGTGCTGCAGATAGCTATAGATAGCTCAATAGCTTTGTACCAGTTTTGAAGAGGAGATTCAAAGCTATCGATTGACGAGTTTCGTTTATTTTTCTGAATTTACACCAAATTATTAGTGAAACAGTTAATGACTGTACGCTCAAAATGCTATCAATTTTGTTAAATTTGTCAAATTACAGTGACTAAATCTGTTCTGTAGCTGAAGCTAGAATTCTTATCGAAGCGTTTAATGGCTCTTAAATACTTCAATTCAAAGTTAAACTTGTTTTCTTTGAAGTAATCGAGAAAATTACAATAAAACAATAAAATTACAATTTCAATCAATTCCCATTGAAGTAATTGTTTTATTTTAAGGCTTTTGACGTTTAAACCACAAATTGGAGAAATTCGAGCTTTGAAAAAAGATCTCTATTTCCCGAATGGAGTCCAAGCGATCGGTGATTACGTTTATTATTCAGAGATGGGAATGGCCAGGATTCAGAAGTGAGTCTAGATTTATAACTATGAGATTTATAACTAATCCTTTCTAGAATCAACTGCAAGAATCTCGAAGTAACGACAGTTGTTGATGGGCTGCCCGGTTATCCAGACAATATTCGGCTTGACCCGCTCGGTCAACTCTTGGTTCCCATTCCAACAATGAGAGACAATTTTGACGCCTGGCTGGCCGAGAGGCCAAAGTTGAGGGGATTTTTGACAAAGGTTTGTGGTAGATTTTAATTTGAAGTCCCTAAAATCAAGGGTAAACCAGTAAAACCTACGGGACTTCATTGGTCAATAAACTAGAGCAAGTCAACAAGGTTAGATTCGGCTTAAAAGTGACCTGGGCAGACCTGGTCAAACCAGTTTCAAGGTTCGGAAATGGCTTTGATCTCAGTATTAGTTGGCTAACTAAGCTAAAGCTTTTAATTTTGACTATCAGCTGGACTTTTGTACAAAGTGTAAAGTTAGATCAATCAATCAGCCAATCAATCCAAACTAACCCAGGCCAAATCAGATTTGATCCGGATCTCCATTCTTTGCCTAGGCCAGTTTCGTAAGATTTAGATCTGATTTATTAGCTATTTTACTAGCTGAAACCACTTGTATCAGTTCAGTTTCTTCTGGTTTCTTTTTGATTTCTCAACCCTAGTTTCGCCAATTTAGTTTCGCCAATCTACTCTAAGTTTCCTGATAAGTGTTAGACTTGACTTGTCAAACATCAAACAACTTGTCAAACAAAAGCATAAGGCCCTACCCTGGTAGCAATGAAATGTGTCGGTGTAGCTAATTGTTAGAGCGTTCGCCCGGTAAGCGAGAGGTCACGTTTTCGAATCCCGGTACCGATCATGTTTTGTATTCCCAGCCCCAACCCATAAAAGGACCGGAGCACCGGCTTTTGAGCTAAGGCTCAAAACACCAGCTAGTAGCTAAGGACAAGCCGCGGTCGGACGGTTTGTTTGAACACGTTGTCCAACTCAAAAGCCTTAGCTCCTCGATCTATCAATCCCTTTCCAGGCGCCGGCTTTTGAGCTAAGGCGGAAAGCACCGGCTAGTAGCTAAGGACAAGCCGAGGTTGGACGGTTTGTTTGAATACGTTGTCCAGCTTAAAAGCCTTAGCTTCTCCATCTATCAATCCCTTTCCAGGTTCTCTCTCCTAGAATGCTTACTTTCATCGGTGAACTTCTTTCCTCGCCTTATGGATTGATTCTAAAAATCGATCCATTGACCGGAAACATTGTGGAATCTCTTCATGATCAAAAAGGAGAGAAAATCTCAGCCATTTCAACAGCAATTGAGACAAAAGATCATCAATTGTTGCTCGGATCGGACACGAATTTCTTTTTGGGAAGATTGAGACCTTGAGTTTGATTCTTTCTTTTGAATTTTTCAAAAGATTCTTTCTTTTGAATCGAACTCTTGAATCGATTCTTTTGAATTTAAAAGACAATTTTTAAGATGATCACCTTAATTTCCTATTGTTTTATTGTTTTTTTAAGCTATTTTACTCTTACATCACCTAGAGTAGTAAAAAAACTTTTTGTCAACATAACAACTCTTTCAGATCTCTGTTTTACATAAACGTGGCTTCATTTCACTTATGTTTTTAGTGCTTTGATTTGTGATTTTTTCAATATTTTCCCCGTTTTCATTGAGAAATGAATTTATTAACCTGAAATTTTCGAGGTGAGTACAGTACTTTACAAACAAGAGCCGATGTCGTGTCTATTTCTTCTTGCCAGCAGCCTAAAAAACGAGAATTTCAATTGATAAGTGGCTAGTTTTAATGTAAAATCGTTTCTTTTGGTCAAAACTCTAGACAGAGAATCGATTTTTCAAAACAAGCAAGGTTTAAATGCAAATTTTTCACTTAAACTTCAAATTTTAGATTTCTATGCCTGCTTTGCTTGGCCTGGCTGGCTGGCTTGGCCTGGCTGGCTGGCTTGGCCTGGCTGGCTGGCTTGGCCTGGCTGGCTGGCTTGGCCTGGCTGGCTGGCTTGGCCTGGCTGGCTGGCTTGGCCTGGCTGGCTGGCTTGGCCTGGCTGGCTGGCTTGGCCTGGCTGGCTGGCTTGGCCTGGCTGGCTGCTTGGCCTGGCTGGCTGGCTTGGCCTGGCTGGCTGGCTTGGCCTGGCTGGCTGGCTTGGCCTGGCTGGCTGGCTTGGCCTGGCTGGCTGGCTTGGCCTGGCTGGCTTGGCCTGGCTGGCTGGCTTGGCCTGGCTGGCTGGCTTGGCCTGGCTGGCTGGCTTGGCCTGGCTGGCTGGCTTGGCCTGGCTGGCTTGGCCTGGCTGGCTGGCTTGGCCTGGCTGGCTGGCTTGGCCTGGCTGGCTGGCTTGGCCTGGCTGGCTGGCTTGGCCTGGCTGGCTGGCTTGGCCTGGCTGGCTGGCTTGGCCTGGCTGGCTGGCTTGGCCTGGCTGGCTGGCTTGGCCTGGCTGGCTGGCTTGGCCTGGCTGGCTGGCTTGGCCTGGCTGGCTGGCTTGGCCTGGCTGGCTGGCTTGGCCTGGCTGGCTGGCTTGGCCTGGCTGGCTGGCTTGGCCTGGCTGGCTGGCTTGGCCTGGCTGGCTGGCTTGGCCTGGCTGGCTGGCTTGGCCTGGCTGGCTGGCTTGGCCTGGCTGGCTGGCTTGGCCTGGCTGGCTGGCTTGGCCTGGCTGGCTGGCTTGGCCTGGCTGGCTGGCTTGGCCTGGCTGGCTGGCTTGGCCTGGCTGGCTGGCTTGGCCTGGCTGGCTGGCTTGGCCTGGCTGGCTGGCTTGGCCTGGCTGGCTGGCTTGGCCTGGCTGGCTGGCTTGGCCTGGCTGGCTGGCTTGGCCTGGCTGGCTGGCTTGGCCTGGCTGGCTGGCTTGGCCTGGCTGGCTGGCTTGGCCTGGCTGGCTGGCTTGGCCTGGCTGGCTGGCTTGGCCTGGCTGGCTGGCTTGGCCTGGCTGGCTGGCTTGGCCTGGCTGGCTGGCTTGGCCAAAGAAGAGTCATTTTAAAGACATTAGCGTAGCTAAGAACTATTCAACAACAAGAAGCTAAGAACATAAGAACTGTTCGACTGTTATAACGGTTGTTGAGGTGCTGAATGTTAAGTGGCTATGGCTATGGTTATGGTTATGGGTATGATTATGGCTATGGCTATGGCTATGGTTATGGGCATGGGTATGGTTATGGGTATGGCTATGGCTATGGCTATGGTTATGGGTATGGGTATGGCTATGGTTATGGTTATGGTTATGGTTATGGTTATGGTTATGGCTATGGTTATGGCTATGGCTATGGCTATGACTATGGCTCAAATTTAGTCACAAAATTTGCCTATTATATAGAAATTGTCCGATGAAACTCACAGCGGTGGTTGACGTGCTGGCTGTCGATGTGGAGGCGGTTGATGACGAGGAAGCGGTTGATGTGGACGCGGTGGACGCGGTGCTGGTGGTGGCCGTGGTCGACGAGCAGAGTGAGCAACTTGACGGGCAATAGGCGGCAATCTGAACTTGTAAATCGTAATGAACTATAAGAAAATTGAAACGAATTTAGCTGAAAGTCGATTTACGATCTAAAAATGGGGTTTGGGCTCTAAAAACCAATTCAAAAGCCCACTTGGGCACTCGTGTAGGCGGTGTTCGTGCAGAAGCCATTGGCCACCCAGGTAGCACAGCTGAAAATCGATCAAATAGCAATTAGATGTTGAATTTAGAGTCAGAAAATAGCGATCTAGATAACCTAGACAATAACTAGCTAGAGATATGATTAGAGAGTCTAGATAAGTTTAAAAAGGGCTCACTTCGAGTTCAAATCCGAGCACGAAGTCGACGAGGTTGTACAGGCGCCACCTGAAAAACAACGATTACAATAAAGTTATCCAATATTTTTTGTTATTTTTTGCTTTTTAATTCAATTCTAACATTAGCAATTATTTGATTTGAGCGATTTTTTTGAGTGTTAACTTAGAGCGTTAAACTTAAACTACGCTTTTCAATTAGAATTTATTTTACGCTTTATGAAATAATCTATTAGAATCATTTTTTTCAATCATTTTGTTCTAAGCACTGGTTAACGCTAGAAATAAATTTAATATTACAAAAAGTCCCGCATTTTCTCTACTTTAAATTGATAGCTAAACGCGGAAAAAACAAGCGTACTGTTGCTGAGATTTGAGTGGGTTTTTTTGAGTGCTAAACCTAGACTACGCTCTTCAATTAGAATTTATTGTAAGCTTTATGAAATAATCTATTCGAATCTAATCTAATCTTCATATATTTTACGAGAGTTTTTATTTTAAACTGCTTTTTTCAAATCCTTACATGACAAGGCACAATACGAGGTTCGTTGAGCGGCCGTGTAGAAGCTGTTCGTGCAGAAACCGTTCGCCGCCCAACTCGTGCATCTGAAAGTAATTTTTTGTCTTGATATAATGATATCACATCTATAATAGTCTTAAAGTCTTTATTCGTCATTTATTAACTTTATTGATTGCTTTATAGATTGCTTTATAGATCGCTTTGTAAAATGTGTTAGCTTTTGTTTTGTTATTTTGTTTGTTATCAATTTCGGCTCGTTGAGTGGTTGTATAATTAAAAGATGTTATAATACTTATTTTAAAGTGAAATAGAACAAATTCCAGCGGTTAAACGTCGAAATAAAATGAAAATAAAATGAAAACAAAGGAAAGGAATCGAACTCGAGCAAAAGGTTGAGAGGTTGTTTTAGAAACAAGACTCTTATCCCCTACACCACAGGGTCATAAGGCAGGTCAGTGAAAGAAGCGTTATAAAGGGACTTTTCAACTTCTAGATTTTTTTGATTTTTCTTTTTGGCTTCTAGCTTTTTGGTTTAAACTTGAGCTAGTTTCCTTTTCCGAATCATTTTATAAAAACGAATAACAGCATCAGAATTAGCGCAAAATTCTGATAAATGGCTCATTTCATCTGATCATTTCATTCGACTCCTTCCCTTATCGTAAAAATTCAAAGAGTTTATAAAACTTACGAAGAATAGGCATTCGTGCAAACCGCTTCAGTCATGGCGAAAGCTGAAAATAGAAAAAAATTAGCAATTAGCTAGTTTATCAATTAGCTAGTTTAGCAATTAGCTAGTTTAGCAATTAGCTAGTTTAGCAATTAGCTAATTTCTGATTTGATTTCTACTACTCAAAACTAAACCTCCAATGGCAAAGAGGACGAATCGAAGCATCGTTTTGCGAGTTGAGAAGACTGAATGTTCTAGACTGAATGTGCTTTTCATCAGTGAAATCACCAAGCTTTTATATCCACAGAAAACAGATGAGCAAATTTGAAAATTGAAAATGATTTGGTGCTCAACTTTGATCCCAAAAAAACTAGCACAATCCGTCTTCTCCATTATTAATTTGAATTCAACTCAACTCCAACGAATCCATGTTCTACAGATTGTTTTATTGGAAAAAGAAATTCAAAAAAGCTGTACAAACAATCCATTTTAATATTGGCAAGCATAAGTTTTTCCCGTTTACGGAAAATATTTGAGTAAATAAAGGGGTTAAAAAAAAGTGTGTGGGTGAGGCGAATGACGAGAATCAGATGTGTCATCTAATATCTTCTGCGATTTAATCACTTTTATTAATAATTTGTTCTCAAAGGCAGAAATGACTCATCTTTAAATACTCTTTTAAATGAATAACTTACCAAAACTAATCCTTGTCTAGTTGACGTGATGAAACGTCACCAAAATGCTGGAGTAATCTAAAAGACATCAGAAATATCGTACTCTAAACAAGCTCGCGGACAAAAGACACCTCTTTCTCCATTTAATCACAATTTTCTCTCATTTTTTCTTTCTTTAGCTTTCTTTAGCTTTCTTTAGCTTTCTTTAGCTTTCTTTAGATTCCTTTAGCTTCCTTTAGCTTCCTTTAGCTTTCTTTAGATTCCTTTAGCTTTCTTTGGATTCCTTTAGCTTCCTTTAGCTTCCTTTAGCTTTCTTTAGATTCCTTTAGCTTTCTTTAGCTTTCTTTAGCTTCCTTTAGCTTTCTTTAGATTCCTTTAGCTTTCTTTAGCTTCCTTTAGCTTTCTTTAGATTCCTTTTGCTTTTCACAAGCTTTGCCTCACGTTTATTGAATAAACTTGGTTTTGTTATTGATTCAAGCAAAAGTGCACAGGTCTAGCCACGTCTAGTAATTCGTAAAACAGAGAAAATTCGCTTTGATACCAACCTTGCGTCAAAAGCCAAAACTGAACCTGGTTTTAAGCTTCTGATTTGAACTAGACTTGATCCATCTTTGGGCAAAAAGCTAGATCTGTCTTTGACCTAGACAAACGCGATTGAAATATCATTTGGTCGTTTAAATGTGCTCTAAACTAGAATTTTTAGTGCTCAAGTCGCGTATAAAGCTCGAACCTTATAAATTACAGTCAAAACTGCAAATCCCATCTTTCAAGGTCTAGGATTTTGCTCGGTTGAAAGCTCATTTACGAAAAAAGATACCTTTTTCCTGAAACTTATTTAATTTTCCCAATTAAATGCATGGAAAAGCGCTTTCTTCAGAAAGAATTTCACTTCTTTTTGTTTTTTTGATTTAATCCAATATTTCTCTTTGTTAAATAAGCAAAATGCAGTAAAAAGAAAGCACAAATATAGCGCAAAGAATGATATAATGTAGGTTATTTCCGGTTTGGAATCCTTTTGAATCGATTATTCACGGTTTTGAATCCTTTGGAATCCTTTGGAATCGATTATTGACGGTTTGGAATCCTTTGGAATCGATTATTGACGGTTTTGAATCCTTTGGAATCGATTATTGACGGTTTGGAATCCTTTGGAATCGATTATTAACGGTTTGGAATCCTTTAAACTATTGCTTTCAAGGAAAATTAAGCTCTAAACTAAACTCTTCAAGTTACCAAATAATTCTAAACTAATTCTAAACTAAACTCTTCAATTTACCAAAGTTTACATCAAAAGACTCTCGATTCTTTGCTAATCTATTCATCAACGAATTTATCTATTCCCCAAACCATAGCTCAATTTATTGACTCTAGTTCTTTTTTTCTAGTTTTCATTAGGAATTTTGTCCCTGGTTCACCCCGAATTCGTGTTTAAATCAGGGAAAACACTGTGCAAACAAGGCGATGACATGTAAATGCGGAAATTTCGCGAATGAGTGCTTTCAAGTTTATGAAAACTCAATAGGAAATGATGTGGAACTTTTTGGATTTTCTATATCCATTTCTGCAATAAAGTGTATTGCAAAACTTAAAGCTCCACCCTATTTTTGATTCAAATCGACTCATTGATTAAGCTATTGAGTTTGAAATCATGTAAAACCTATTTAAAATCTTCTAAAAACACAATCTACACCAAAACAGCAAAAGTTTCTTTATAAAAATGTATTTTTTGAAGAAAGCATCGTTGCAAAACTTGTGTTTTTTCTAATTTTCATCAAAAATTCAACATCAATAACATCAATAACCGTCAACATCAATAACATCCTGTCGTCAACATCACTAACATCCTGTCGTCAACATCACTAACATCCTGCCGTCAACATCACTAACATCCTGCCGTCAACATCAATAACATCCTGCCGTCAACATCAATAACATCCTGCCACCATCGGACTATCATCTGTTCAGGTATTTTGTCCAGAATCGTCCGAGTATCATTTTTGCAGGTCTCTGGAGCATCATTTGCGTGGAAAGATCTTTCAAAACGTCGAGAAAATGCACTTGTCATTCACTCAGTTTTTCGATTCGAAGCCACGTGAGTTTTACCGCCGCGGAATCTATTTGTTGCCGGATAAGTGGGAGGATGTTATTGATGTTATTGATGTTATTAATGTTGACGGCATGATGTTATTGATGTTGACGGCAGGATGTTCTTGATGTTGAAGGCAGGATGTTATTAATGTTGAAGGCAGCATGTTATTAATGTTGAAGGCAGGATGTTCTTGATGTTGACGGCAGGATGTTATTGATGTTGACGGCAGGATGTTCTTGATGTTGACGGCAGGATGTTCTTGATGCTCTTGATGTTCTTGATGTTCTTGATGTTCTTGATGTCTCTTTCGAGTAGATAAATTCTGTTTTTTTATTTGGCGTTTTTGATGCGTAAAATACAAAAAAGCATCCTACAGTACAGTACAGTAACAATACAAAAAGCATCCTACAGTAAGCTACAATAATCCTACAGTAACCCTACAGTCAGCTACAGTAAGCTACAGTAATCCTACGGTTAGCCACAATGAACCACTGTAGCTCTGAAGATACTACAGTAGCTCACGATTGTCTACACGTAACTCTACTATGCCGATCGTAACCTACGATAACCATAAGTAACTAACAGTAACTCGAAACTAAAGTACTACTTTAAAGTTATACACTACAGCCGATGTATTAGATTGGAAAGAAAGTTCTCGGAAAAAGTTTGCGCGATGATTTCTCGTTAAACGTTAACGTTAAATACAAATTATTAGGTTGTCCGGAAATAAATGAGCGTTTTGTATTGTTTATTATTTGGGTACATTTTTCTCAATAAAGTATGCTCTGTACCTTGTCATGTTATATACCATTAGAAAGCTGAGTTCGCACTCTCTTTAACCATGCTTTTAAATTTTGCTGAAAATAAAATTTTTGGCGAGTTTTAAGCTTCGCCGTTTTAGATGTCCGAAACTAACTTTCGCCAGATTTTCTTTTATGAGTTCAAACTCGGTCACAATGCAGCTGAAGCGGCTCGTAACATTAACGAAGTTTGGGGCCAAGGCAATGTCGGCGAGTCAACAGTGCGAACTTGGTTCCGAAAATTCCGAGGTGATGATTTGGATCTCAAAGATAAGGAAGGCCTTGACCGTCCTGTTGAACTCGATGACGACGAAATGAAGACCCTGGTGGAAGCAAATCCACGTACGACTATTCGAAAGTTTGCGGAGGAGCTTGGCGTGGACAAGACGACCATTTCTGACCGCTTGAAACGGATTGGAAAGTCAAAAAAGCTCGATAAATGGGTGCCGCACGAATTAAACGAAAATCAAAAAATCGTCGTTTTGAGGTGTCGTCTGCTCTTTTTCAGCGCAACAAAAACGACCCATTTCTCGACCGGATCGTAACGTGTGATGAAAAGTGGATCCTCTACGACAATCGGCGACGTTCCGCTCAGTGGTTGAATGCCGGAGAGGCTCCACAATACTTTCCAAAGCCAAATTTGCACCAAAAGAAGGTTATGATGACTGTTTGGTGGTCCGCAGCCGGTCTAATCCATCACAGCTTTCTGAATCCGGGCGAAACGATTACAGCGAAGAAGTACTGCCAACAAATCACCAAATGCACCAGAAGTTGCGGCGAATGTGCCCGGCATTGGTCAACAGAAAAGGTCCAATTCTTCTCCACGACAACGCTTGTCCGCACGTCGCACAACCGACCCTGCAAAAGCTAAACGAACTGAGCTACAAAACTTTGCCTCACCTGCCATATTCGCCTGATCTTTTGCTTACCGACTACCACTTTTTCAAGCACCTCGACAACTTTCTCCGGGAGAAAGTGCTTCAACACTCAAGACGATGCCAAAAACGCCTTCGCCAACTTTATCGCCACCAGAAGCCCGGACATCTATGCTACCGGCATAAATAAACTTGTTTCTCGTTGGCAAGAATGTGTTAATTGTAATGGTTCTTATTTCGATTAATAAAGTTTTGTTTGGATCAAGTTATGGTACTTTAAATATTCAACTTAAAAACGCTCATTTATTTCCGGACAACCTAATACATTAACGTAAAATTACAACGGTCAACGAGAAAGCGGAGAATTTGTACTCGGGGGTTTTCGGCGGCGACGAATCCGAAGCTGAAATCAAATAAAGATTTTTGCATTTTAAACAACGCTGCAACTCTTAGGTTGGAAAGAAAGTTCTCGGAAAAAGTTTGACTGGAATTGACTTAGAGAACCAATCCACCAATTCAAGAACATTTTCTTCTATTATTTACAAGTCAACCCCAAGAAATTACTCATAAAAAAAGAGTGCAGCTTTTCCTTTTAAAATTTTAGAGTTTTCTGGAAAAATTCTTATTTTTCAGCTTAAATTTAGCTCACTTTTTGCACCAGAAAAGCTATAATACAAAAAGCATCCTACAATAAGCTACAGTAAGCTACAATAATCCTACAGTAACCCTAGAGTAAGCTACAGTAAGCTACAGTAAGCTACAATAGTCCTACAATATTCCTATAGTAACCCTAGAGTAAGGTACAGTAATCCTACGGTAAGCCACAATGAACCACTGTAGCTCTGAAGATACTACAGTAGCTCACGATTGTCTACACGTAACCCAACTATGCCTATCGTAACCTACGATAACGATAAGTAACTTACAGTAGCTCGAAACTAAAGTACTACTTTAAAGCTATACACTAAAGCCAATGTATTAGGTTGGAAAGAAAAAGTTTGAACGATGATTTCTCAAAAACGAATCCACCAATTCAAGAACATTTTCTTCTATTATTTACAAGTCAACTCCAAGAAATTACTCGTAAAAAAACAGTGCAGCTTTCCTTTTAAAATTTTAAAGATTTTATGAAAAATTCTTATTTTCCAGCTTAAATTCAGCTCACGCTGGACCAAGGCCTACGGAGCAATGTTATGCGACAACTCTCGGGACTCAGAGATCCCTTGGAAGTGATAGAGAGGCGAAAGCTTTGAAGGGCAGAGCATGTGGCCAGAAGAACAGATGACAGATGGACCGCACGGGTCCCGGAATGGGCCCCATCAGAAGAGACCTGTCGGGAGGCCAGCAACCAAATGGAGCACAAGGGTCGATCAATTTTGGGCAGAGATTAAATTGGGCAGAGATTTTTGAGGTTAAAGATCTCTGTCCAAGTGATATCAGGCTAAATTCATAAGTCTGGGTGAACTTAGCCTGGCTTCATGTCAGTTCGGATTTTTCATGTCAGTGCAGATTTTTGACGTCAACCTGGAAATCATCGATCCGGGTGATAAATTCCAAAATCTTGTCAATGAGCGTCTTGGTACTTAGCCACTTCAGCGAGGAAAGATTTGTTTGCGGTAAAACCAAAAAGTATCGGGTCAACGGTTCAATCCGGCTAGATTATTGCTTTTTTTCCTATAGATGTTTTTCCTACATTCTCTCTACATTTAGGGCTTCAGTTTTGGGCTTTTGTATTGTTTGTATCAAATTATTCGTTTGTTTGTATCAAATTATTCTTTTGTTTGTATCAAATTATTCGTTTGTTTGTATCAAATTATTCTTTTGTTTGTATCAAATTATTCGTTTGTTTGTATCAAATTATTCGTTTGTTTGTATCAAATTATTCGTTTGTTTGTATCAAATTATTCTTTTGTTTGTATCAAATTATTCGTTTGTTTTTATCAAATTATTCTTTTGTTTGTATCAAATTATTCGTTTGTTTGTATCAAATTATTCTTTTGTTTTTATCAAATTATTCTTTTGTTTGTATCAAATTATTCGTTTGTTTTTATCAAATTATTCTTTTGTTTTTATCAAATTATTCTTTTGTGTGCAGAAAAGTGGCTCTTTTCTGTGGAATCTTATTTAATGTTTTGATTTGAATATCTGATTCTCTCGTCCCGTCTCTAAAAGATCGTTTTTATGATAAAAGGGACGGAGCCCACTTTATATTGTTTGTCGGTATAGTCGTTTCGTATTGCCGAGTCTTCGTATTGCTTTTTCGTATTGCCATGAAACACTGAACCAACGATTGATTCTATTCTTTTATATTTTCTCGCTAGATTAGTATTGTGCTAGATTCGGAATAAATATCTAATAATCATTGCCCATCGAAACCCTCTCAAGCACTGCACGTTTTGAATTTGAAATGTACAGGGTGCGGGCAAAAGTTCCGACACTTTTTGTAAACGGGCTTGGAAAAAACGTGATTTTTGAAAAACTAACACCGGATTATAAAAATTCAGATATTTTTACCCCCTAATATACTTTTTTACACAAAAATTGCCATCTAAACAACCTTTTGATGAGGATTTTTAAAGATCGTTACAGCAGTTTTTTTTTTTTTGCTGTTGTGCAATGTCGTGCGAGAATACCGATAGGGGCGTTGATTATTAGATATTTATTCTGAATCTAGCAAGAAATACAATAAAATAGGATTAATCGTTGGTTCAGTGTTTCATGGCAATACAAAAGGAATACGAAAGGAATACGGAGAGAATATGAAAAGTGCCCCTGTAAAGTGGGCTCCGACCCTTTTATCCGTCCCTTTATCTTAAAAGCAATCTTTCAGAGACGGGACAAGAAGACCAGACATTCAAATCAAAACATTAAATAAGATTTCACAGAAAAGAACCACTTTTCTGCACAGCTGTTGAGATTTGGGTGCCCTTCGCAGAATCGCTTGAAAATCTTTCGTTTTTGAGATATAAAGTTTTTTTGTGGCTTGTTTTCAAGAAAAAAACTCAGTTCTATCAAATGGTAACAGCAGTTTTTAGAAAAAAATTCATTCTGCAAAGTTTAAGTCAACTTTCGCAAAAATCTTCAGCGACCAGACCGGGATATAAAAAATTCTCGTCAAAAAGCTATTGAGAGTTGAAATCTTTTTTATGAAAATGGCTATATTGGGGTGAAACTACCTACTAAACTAAAAAAATTACTAGTGTCAGAACTTTTGCCGCACCCTGTAAATGCATAAAATTTGAATAATTTCGATAATTTTGTATTTTCTATTAAATGAAATAGAATTTCAGATATCAATTTTTATTTTAGATATCAATTTTGGTTTCAAATATCAATTTTTTTCATTTCAAATATCAATTTTCATTTCTTTATTATGCACCGGTAGCTCCAGCTCGTTTTGGCAGGGTGATTTGCCTAAAATTGTTCATTGCACTAGAAGGCTTTGTTTACAAGCGAGTCACAAACAAAAAAAAAACACTTAGCTAGTCAGGAAATTGTAGTTTTCTATTTTTCTATTCTATATTCTCAAAAAAACTCACCAAAACTTGTATGCATCTAAATCGTAATCACTTTCGTTGACACTTTTATAGGTGATCGTCTGATAGACACGTTTTTTCTCTGTGAAAGTTGAAAAGTCGATGATTCTTCTGAAATTCTCAGTTATCTAAGCACATTTTCGATTAACTACGAGTTAAAATATAAGAAGATGAAGAATTTAAAAGTAAATAAAAGCAAATTACTAACCTGTGATATGCAAATTCTTTGATCAAATGCGAAAGCTTTTGAGAGAACTTTTTCCCCGTTTCGAGATCTTCAGGTCTAAAACTTGAGGTCTAAAACCATTGAAAAAAAAACTAAAAGTATTGTAAAGTTAGCACAAAGTTCTTTAAGGTTCTTTAAAGTTCACAAAGTTCTTTAAAGTTCTTTAAAGTTAGCACAAAGTTCTTTAAAGAGTTTAGCTTAAGCTCACGTGAATGCAGAGTATCGCAAATGGTGAATGGTGGTGGAATCAAAGAGCAACGAGACATCGGTACCGTGATCCGTGCAATGTGGATTTGTGAATGGAACTGAAATCGGGTAATGTTGAAGTTTAAAACTGATAAGCTGCTTATTTTGTGATATCGAAAGTCTAAAAGTAATTATTACAAGGATTTATAAGTTTAAAACTAATCATTACAAGGATTTAAAAGTTTAAAACTAACTATTACAAGGATTTAAACGTTTAAAAGTAACCATTACAAGTATTTAAAAGTCTAAAACTAACCATTACAAGGATTTAAAAGTCTAAAAGTAACCATTACAAGGATTTAAGAGTCTAAAACTAATCATTACAAGGATTTAAAAGTCTAAAACTAACCAATACAAGGATTTAAAAGTTTAAAACTAATCATTACAAGGATTTAAAAGTCTAAAACTAATCATTACAAGGATTTAAAAGTCTAAAACTAACCATTACAAGGATTTAAAAGTTTAAAACTAACCATTACAAGTATTTAGAAGTTTAAAACTAATCATTACAACGATTTAAAAGTCTAAAAGTAACCATTACAACGATTTAAAAGTCTAAAACTAACCATTACAAGGATTTAGAAGTCTAAAACTAACCAATACAAGTATTTAGAAGTCTAAAAGTAACCCTTACAAGTATTTAAAAGTTTAAAACTAACCATTTGGCTCATCAAAAACGTCATTTAATATTGAGTAGGTCGTCAGTTTTTTGTCTGCATGAAAGAGCAGGGCTTGTTGTGTCTCAGCAGTCCAGGCTTCTGAAAAAATAAAGAATTAGCTATTGAGTGTTGATTGAATGCTTAAAAAACTGATTTGTGATACGAACAAGATCAACAAAGAACCCTAGATGACAAGTTTTGACAATGAGATACTGCTGAATCATCGGTAAATCGTCTACAAATGCTTCAGCACACTCAAACATTACTAGAAATCGAGGCTAGAAAAGCAAAATTGACATTTACAAGTATAAAAAGTCCAAATTGTGTGCTTTCCTTTAGTCTTTATGAGTGAGCAACGGGAAATGATGCACAAACTGAATGGATTCAGTTCAATTTTCGATTACTTAGGCAGATTTTCGATTACCTAGGCAGATTTTCGATTACCTACGATTACCGATTACCGATTACCGTATTTTCCCTATGTAGAGTCGAGTTGATGACGATTTTACGGTTTCCAATTTTTCCGAGAAGCTCAACACTCAAATCCCCCCACAAGATCTCTTCGTCAGCTACATTTTCCGATCCCACATCGATAGGTTCTGATAAGCGCTTTTCGAGATTTCGAGGAATTTAGGCGACGCTCAGGGTGCACTACTCTATTAGAGAAAATATGGTATATATAAAATGACTAACAAGGGAATGATCTCAACTCAAAGTACGGAATCGATTGGAAACACAGTGCATAACATAGAATCAGCAATGGCGAACAAAAGGCCACAAAAATTAGCCGCTAATAGCCACAGAAACGCGAGGAATCTGATCGGGATTCAAAACTGCAAAATCGGGATTGAAAACTGCAAAAATCGGGATTCGAAACTGCAAAATCGGAATTCAAAACTGCTCTCATTTATAAGTCTTCTCTCGCCTCTCATTTATAAGTTCTTTAAAGATTCCCTCACCCATGCCCACTTTGAAAAACTTCTGTTCTCTGTCTGCGCTTTGGTCGGAGGCGTTGATTGAGAATCTAAATTGAGCAAAGTAAGCTAAATCTTCAAAATACTTGTGTACTTTGTGCTTAAAGACAGAAACATACTCTTTCTAGCGCACTGAATTCGTCATTTTCTTGCAGAATCGTGATTCTGTGAGAGAAAATGGAGAACTCCGTCACCAGGAAGGTTGTGTTTCATCTTTGAACACAAAGTGCACTTATTTCTTCTCTTTCTTCCTCTCTTCCTTTTCTTTCTTCCTTTCTCTTCCCCTTTTATTCTCTCTTTCTTCCTTTCTCTTCCCCCTTCTATTCTCTCTTTCTTCCTTTCTCTTCCCCTTCTATTCCCTCTTTCTTCCTTTCACTTCCCCTTCTATTCCCTCTTTCTTCCTTTCTCTTCCCCCTTCTATTCCTTCTTTCTTCCTTACTCTTCCCTCTTCTTTCCCTCTTTCTTCCTTTCTCCTGCCCCTTCTATTCTCTCTTTCTTCCTTTCTCTTCCCCCTTCTATTCCCTCTTTCTTCCTTTCTCCTGTCCCTTCTATTCCCTCTTTCTTCCTTTCACTTCCCCTTCTATTCCCTCTTCTTTCCCTCTTTCTTCCCTGACAACAAGATACCAGATAGTGGTTAGAGCAGTGGTTAGAGCTCAGTGGTTAGAGCATCTGGCGGGGAAGATGAAACCAAAGATCGAGGGTTCAATCCCCTCTTTGGAAATTTTTCTTTACCATTTCTTACTTGACTTTATTAAGCATTGAGTTCTGATACCTTTCATCGATAAGATCCATTGCAATCATGGTTTCATTGTACGAGACATGGACAAGCCCATCCACCCAACTCTCCGCCGACAACTCGTTCATCTCATGCACAACGTTGCTGAACAATGTTGGCAGATGAGCTCGTTTTCTGGAAACAATTCTGGAGTGAATTCACTGCATTAATGCCATTTATTTTCATTTTTTTGAGCTTTGAGCTTAACTACACTACTGGACAACGAAATATGATATTTGAAAAACGATCGTCACTTTCGCGCGTCTGTAACTCCCTTTTCTTTACCGTATTTTTAAATATTAATATTACCATTGTGTAGCCCTTGAAAAGAGCTTTCAGAAAATGTATAACACTAATAGTTTAAACTCAAAGACAAGGGAGTTACAGAGGCGCGAAAGTGACGAAAGTGTTTTTTCAAATATTATATTCCATTGTCCAGTACTGTACTTCCTATTTTTTTTTTTTTTTTTATTCGATTTTTTTTTTTTTTTTTTTTTTTTTTTTTTTATTTTTTTTTTTTTTTTTTTTTTTTTTTTTTTTTTTTTTTTTTTTTTTTTTTTATTTTTTTTTTTTTCTTTTTATTTTTTTTTTTTTTTTTTATTTTTTTTTTTTTTTTTTTTTTTTTATTCTCAACCATAAATTCAAAATTTTTTTTTTTTTTTTATTTTATTTAAATAAATAATTTTTTTTATAAAAAAAAAATAATATATATTATAAAGAATAAAAAAATCTAAAAAAATGTAAAAAAAAAAAAAAAACAAAATAATAATAATTTATTTTTTTTTTTTTTTTTTTTTTTTTTTTTTTTTTTTTTTTTTTTTTTTATTTTAATGATTCTTTTCCCTCTTTTTTTTTCTCTTTTTTTTTTTTTTTTTTTTAAAAAAAATTGGGAAAAAGTGTTAAAACCCTTTTATCTTTTTTTTTTCTTTTCCCCCCCCCGCCCCCCCAAAAAAAAAAAAATTAAACAACAAAAAACAAAAAAATTTTGGAATTTTGGCCTTTTTGCGTTTTTGGAAAGGCCCCTTTCGGCAAAAATCTCAAATATTGAGTAATTGATTAGTAAATGACTCACTTGACCATTTCTGTTGTCGTATTTTCCGGCATGAAAGACATCTGACACCGGAATTTGTCGAGAATCGGTGTGAAAAAGTAGTCAACAGTGGCCTTGTTGTCATAGCAAGTTTTTGGAGCCTTAAAGATTTGATTCTTTGATTTTTCTTAATTAAAAACACTATAACTAAATATCTTTTATAGGAATTTCATCAATTTCATCAATTTTCATCAATTTTCATCAATTTTCATCAATTTCATCAATTTTCATCAATTTCTTACAAGTTTCATGCATTCTTTGATCTCTTTCACGGTTCCTGTGCAATTACAATTTCGAAAGACATCTTGTGACCATTCAAGCTGAAAGAATCATTCAAGCTCATTACAATAAATGAAAGCTAATCAATTTTTAATATCAAGATTATAATGCAATGCAAGAGAGCAATAAAATCAACTATAAAATCAACAATTAATACTATTTACTTACCGTCTCATCGGTACTGATCGCTAGAGGTCCACTGGCAAATCCAGAGAATAGCATTGCTGCGTGGATTTCACCTGGAATTAAAGATCCGTTAAATTAAAGATTTTATTGAAAAATGATTGAAAAAAGATTAATTTCTTTTCTTTGTCAACTAAAAAACTATGTTGAAAAACATTTTAACGAACCTTTTAACCTTGGACTCACACCAAAAATCCCAGCCATTGTCCCACCCGCACTCTCACCAGCGACAATAATATTATTCACATCAAAGCCCATTGAGTCCGCATTTTCCTAAATATTTTCTGCTTTTTACAATAAATCCATTTCAGCTTATTGGGCATTTGATGCGTCCCTTTTCCCATAAACAATCTAACTTTGAGCTCAAATTTCTTGGTGTTGTTTTTTTTTTTTTTTTTGTTTCATAATTCCCCTCCTCTTTTTTTTTTAAAAAAAATTTATAAAAACCCCACAAAAAAAAAATAAAAAAAAAAGAAAAAAAAAACCCCCCCCCCCCCCCCCCTTTTCTAAAAAATTATTTTGGGCTGTTCAATTTGAATAGTTTTTGATAGCAATCGATAGAGAAAGACTTGGCGCATCTAATAATACCAATAATTTATAAATTGAACAGCTCAACACGAAGAAATTTGAGCTCAAAGTCATGGCAATGGAGGAAGGGGCGGGGCGCGTATATAAGCCCTTAAGCCCGGCCCCTTTTTCTATTAGCAATCTAACTTTGAGCTCATATTTTTGGAATTAATATAATAATTTTTACCACCACCAAAACACCCACAATCAATACAAAAAAAATAAAAAAAAAAAAAAACAAAAAAAAACAACCCAACCCCAAAAGGGTCGGGCAATGGCAAAAGGGTCGGGCTTAGCTTATATACGCGCCCCGCCCTTTTCTCCATTGCCATAACTTTGAGCTCAAATTTCTTGATGTTGGTGCGTCCAATTTAAACAATTTTTGTACCAATCGATAGAGAAAGACTTGGCGCATCTAATAATACCAATAATTTATAAATCGAACAGCTCCAAGTCAAGAAATTTGAGCTCAAAGTTAGATTGCTGATGGAGAATTTCCACACTACAATTTACCCTCAAAAATTTGAGTGCAAGAGCGACGTCTTCTAGTGCCAAATTTCCGGGCATATCGTTTGAACGAGTGGCAACAAAGCCTGAAAAATTTCTCTATGCTCAGCAAAACAACTTCGAAATAGCTTGTAAATGTATTGGCATTGAGAAAAGATTGGCATTGGGTAAAGCATTGGGTAACTCACCCTCGAATCCCATCCGATAATCGGCTGAAGCGAAAACGATGCGCTTTGAGGCGACATTTCGCAAGATTCCCGAATTCTCGTAATAATACTTTCCACCAACCTGGAATTTCGATTAATTTTAATGATATTTTTAATGAGATTCAATCAAAAACTAATCTATTTTAATGTTCAATCAGATTCTATTCAATTAAAAATCAAATTCTTAAAACAAACCCTAAAGCCACCACCGTGAATCCAAAAGAGAAGAGGTAATTTTTCAGAAAATCTCTAAAAACTCATCATTTAGTTGATAAAAACCTCTTGAAAACGTGAAAAATAGTTTTAAAAAAAAGAAAACAAACCCTTTGCATATGATCAACGGGAATCACCAACTTTAGCCGCAAACAATCGTCGCTTGTTGGGACTGGACTTGGGCTCTCGAAGTAGTAACGCTGAAGGAAAAGTAGTAGTTAAAGTGGTAGTAAAAGTAGTAGGAAAAGTAGTAGTTAAATTAGTAGTTAAAGTAGTAGTGAAAGTAGCAGTAAAAGTAGTAGTAAAAGTAGTAAAAACAGTAGTAAGAGTAGTAGTAAAAGTAGTAGTGAAAGTAGTAGTAAAAGTGGTGGTAAAAGTGGTAGTAAAAGTAGTAGTTAAAGTAGTAGTAAAAGTAAAGTAGTTATTTCAAGTATTAAGCTGATTTATGTGCTTAAAATGTGTGAAAACAAAAGCTTTCTGGTAAGCAATACGAAAGTATTGCTTGAAAACTTACCAAATAGTGATAGCAAGCGCTTTGATTTCTCACATCCAACACACCTTTCCATGGATCACGAGGCTCCGGTAACTGAACTTTTATTTTAAATGTATAATCAAGCTGGTTTGGTATACTGTAATGGATTCTACAGTATTTCTGTCTTTTTTTCCCTTACCTCAAATCGAAGCTCTCCACTAGGCGGCTTAGCAAAAGGAATCGATTCAAAGACTTGTCCCCAAGTGCCTGATGACTGAAAAATGAGATTTTGAAGAGAAGTCTGAACATTAACGGATCTTAAACTACCGTAAATACTTGAATAGTACCCCATCCCCATAATGATGGTGCGGAGTGTTGCGTAGTCTAGCGTAGCTCTAGTCTGCGTAGTCTAGCGTAGATCTAATCTGCGTAGTCTAGCTTTGAACGTGTTTTTCTCGACACTGGTTTATGCTACAATGTGCGCTTAGGTATCAAAAAATAGCCCTAAATTCCAGCTATTTTTTGATGCCTAAGCGCGCATTGTAGCATAAACCAGTGTCGAGAAAAACGCGTTCAAAGCCAGACTACGCAACACTCCGCACCATCATTATGGGGGTGGGGTACTATTACAGTATTTACAGTATGTTTTCTAAAGCTTATCCTTAACTAATTACTCTAGATAGGTCATAAATCATTGCAATACTTTAAATCATTGTTAATTAATCATTAATCGTCATTAATGTTTTCCTTTAATGTTTACTATAGCTGAACGGGGAAATTACTAGTTTAGTAGCTTTTCTTTTATTTGAACAAATCATGGTGTTTTCTATAACGAGAATTAGTGTAAAGCAGACTGTAAAGCATACTGTAATGCAGACTGTAATGCAGACTGTAAAGCATACTGTAATGCAGACTGTAATGCAGACTGTAAGGCATACTGTAAGGCATACTGTAAGGCATACTGTAATGCATACTGTAATGCAGATGAATTCTAGCAGATTACTGTATACAGTTTAGTTGATAAAAGATTTTAAAACACTCAAAATCCGCACCTCAACAACTTCTCCTAAAACAGTGCCTTTGGTTGTCTCGAGTGGGATGGCTTGATTGAGGAGTTGAGCCTCAATTAGCCCAATCACTAACAAAATGAGGCCAAGCATCTAAAATTTCTTTAAATCAATTAAATCATAAAACAAAAGAAACTGATCATTTGAATTGACTTTATGCGCATTTTAATTGTGTGAAGAATGTGTGGGGGAATTTTAATTGTGTCAAGAATGTAGAGGAAAATTTGGGAAAATCAAATGACAAGAATGACAAGAACAATAAGAACAATAAGAACAAGAATGCACAAAAGAAGTAACTCTTTTTTTTTTAATCAAGTCCAAATCTAACCCAAAAACTCAGTAAATCAAGATTTCAGTAAAGAAAAGATGCGAAGGAATTAATTGAACTGAGAATGGCAATTGGAGATCTGTGGCTTTGCCATTTGCAAATTATAGTTTTCTCTGATCTAGCAGTTTACTTATCTAGCAGATCTAGCAGATCTAGCAGCTCTAGTAAATCTTGGCTTGATCAATCAAAGGTCAATCTTGATCTTGGCTAACTCTTGATCTTGGCTAAATCTTGATCTTGGCTAACTCTTGATCTTGGCTAACTCTTGATCTAACTTGAACTGGGCTAGCTCTTGACCGGATTTGACTTTAATAGACTATAGAAAAAGTATAACATCCTTGTACTTTACTAAAGTTTACCATCTTTTTCTTTACTAGGGTTTAGCTTGATCTGTTTGGTTTGAAATCGGTCCTATAAACAGCTATGAACCTATATAACCCTAGATAACCCTATATAACCCTATATAACCGTAGATAACCCTATATAACCCTATATAACCCTATATAACCCTATATAACCGTAGATAACCGTAGATAACCCTAGATAACCCTAGATAACCCTATATAACCCTATATAACCGTAGATAAACCTAGATAACCCTAGATAACCCTAGATAACCCTAGATAACCCTAGATAACCGTAGATAACCGTAGATAACCCTGGATAACCCTAGATAACCTAGATAACCCTAGTTCTAAAACAGCTTTGAAGTCTGTTCTACAAAAGATTGATCTACCTGGTTTACCTGGTGTAAAAGCTAGAAGCCAAACTCTCACATCCCGGCTTAATAAGATCACTTCTCTTGTATCACAAATATCAACCACGAAAATTTAATAAACCTACAACTCTTCACAGTCAAAAATTTGCTTCTTTGAAAAAAAAAGGGACTATTCACTCAAATTTAATCTCCAAATCGTGTATCTATGTACGCATTTTATGACGGCAAAATTATTGTATCGTAAAACCATTGTAAAATCTCCTTTTCTTCAAAAAGCACACGACTTTGCAACCTTGCATTCTGTCTCAAACATCAGGGTTGGCTTCTTTTTTGGCTCTTTCATTTTTCCTTATCAAACAGTTGTAAATGTTTGAGAAATTCTTTGAAAATCTTGTGATTTTTTGGGAATCTGGAGAACTTTTTCTAGCCAGGTACAGCCGTTTTTAAGAACTCTTGGGCACACAGAAGCTCTTCAAAAGTAGAACAAGCTCTTCAAAAACCTAATGGGCTTTTTTTAGTGTTTAAACTAGGCTCTAGGCGACCCTAGGCTCTAGCCAGGCCAGGCTAGAGCAACTCCAGGCTTGATTTCTGGCTGTTCTATTTAAGCTTAAGCTTTTGCGATTCAAAACCCTGAATGTTAATGTTTTCAAGTAACTACCGTATTATACTTTGCTTGATGATTGTTCAAACAAGATCTCGATCATTTGAACTCAATCACAGCCAACTGCTAATTCATCCACGGCATTCTCTCTAACTTCTAGAGTAGTGAACCCTGAGCATTGCCTAAATTCCTCGAAATCTCGAGAACCGCTTATCAGAGCCTATCGATGTGGGGTCGGAAAATGTAGCTGACGATGAGATCTTGTGGGGGATTTAAGTGTAGAGCTTCTGTAAAAGCTTGGAAGTCGTAAAATAGGCAGCAACTCGGCTCCTTTTGCATCCTTTTGTCCTTTTGCGCAACACGCCTTAACTTTCTTCTAAGTCTGCCAATTCTAAAATTGGGAAAATGATTCTACCTATATGAACTAAATGAGGATATAGTGTAACGTGCTTTATTTTCTGTGGAGTCTCAATGTGGTTTATGTCTGCTTCTTTAAAGAAACAAGACTTTATTTAACATCTGAATCACCACGCAAAACACTACGTTCCACGTTAACAACACCACGTACAACAAACCAAGGATCAAACACTCACTGAGAAAATGAATGAAAACAATCACTTAATAAATGAGAACACGAACCACTTGCAAAAGGGAATGCGAAAGAAAAAAATCACTTGATCAAGAGCAAAAAAATGAATCAAGAAGACTCAAATGAAAGAAAAGGACCTACGGAATAAGATAGGAAACCTTTTATAGCCTTTTACTTGTGCAAAAGTTACTTAGTCAACGGTTACTTACGTTCCCAAGGGCACGTTATAGAATTTAAAACCTTTAACTGACGTGTGTGAGGATCGAGAGTTCGATCACTACCCTCAAAAATGAATTGGAACTTGTACAACACTGTGAAAAACTTTTAACAAGCAGATAAACAGATAGGAAAAAGTATTTAGTTGATTTTCGAAGATAAAATCTTTCAGATAGCTCAAGAAACAGTTGGATAGTGAATTTTTTAAAGTAAACAGAAAGCTTGTTAAAGAATTGTAGAGACTGATTGACGATTTTCTGTTAATTTCAAACTTTTTCAATGTTTATCTTCAAAATCCAGACCAAATTTCCCTTTGTTAACCCGGGAAAACATGATCGCCGATCGTTGACTTTTCAAAATCCTTTCAAATTCAAATTCAAAAAATGTTTTGCTCTCAAAAAATGAAAACAGAATACAAGCTTTGGATAAAGAATACAAGCTTTGGATAATATTGTGGCTCAATATTGTGGCTCAAGCTGTGGGCTTTGCACAACGAGTACAGCATCGACGTCGACGGCTTCGACGAGCACAGCTTCCACGTCAACAGCTGTAAGTTGAACACAAATCAATGTAACCGTAGAAAGATCATAAGTCCATCGTTAACTAGAGCCAAGTATCCCAGGCCTGTCCAGTCAAATCCAGTCAAAATACCGGTTCAGCTTTGTGGTTCAGGGTTGGGTGGTTATCGGACATTTGATACGCCCCTTTTCCCATTAGTAATCTAACTTTGAGCTTAAATTTCTTGGTGTTGAGCTGTTCAATCAAAATTTTCTTTGTATCACTAGATGCGCCTAGTCTTTCTCTATCGATTGTTATAAAAACTAGTTAAATTGGAACGCTCAACACCAAGAAATTTGAGCTCAAAGTCATGGCAATGGAAAAGGGGGCGGGGCGCGTATATAAGCCCGTATGCCATTATCAATCTAACTTTGAGCTCCGAAAACATTTTCAGTTGCGCAATGTGGGTGGCCAACGGCTTTTGCAATAATACAGCTTACACAGCGGCACAGGTATTGCAATTTGATGCTTAATGAAGACTATAAATTGAAGAAATTGCTCTTAAACCTTTAAAAAAAGCATTTCCAGAAAGCTCAATATTGTGGCTCAAGCTGTGGCCTTTGCACAACGAGTACAGCATCGACGTCGACGGCTTCGACGAGCACAGCTTCGAATGGATAAAGAAAGAAAAATGGATAAAATAGATAAATTAAAAGAAATTTTGAAGGAATACCGTTTTTTTAAACTTTTTTACTATAAAATTTGATGTATTTGAGAAGAAATTTGCGGTAAAATAAGTCCGAAAAATTTATTAAGAACATATCGCCTTTGGTTGATGAACAAAACATTTTCCATGAGGCCATCGACCATCAGGCTGGCTGAAAATGTTTTGTTTAATTGTTTAAATGTTTTTTTTGTTTAAATGGATTAATATTGAATTGTGTAATAAGGGAAATTTTGGGAAAACGCCCCTTTTGCCATTGGCAATCCAACTTTGAGCTCAAATTTCTTGGTGTTGCGCTGTTCAATTTCAATATTCTTGGCATTATTAGATGCGCCAAGTCTTTCTCTGTCGATTGGTACAAAAACTATTTAAATTGGACGCACCAACATCAAGAAATTTGAGCTTAAAGTTAGATTGATAATGGCAAAGAGATCGTGGCGCGTATCAAATGTCCCACAACCTACTTTGGTCTCCAAAGTGACTTTCTAATGATTGTTAGATTGTTCAAAGTTAGATTGCTAATAGAAAAAGGGGCCGGGCTTAAGGGCTTATATACGCGCCCCGCCCCTTCCTCCATTGCCATAACTTTGAGCTCAAATTTCTTGGTTTTGAGCTGTTCAATTTATAAATTATTGGTATTATTAGATGCGCCAAGTCTTTCTCTATCGATTGGTACAAAAACTGCTTAAATTGAACGCACCAACATCAAGAAATTTGAGCTCAAAGTTAGATTGTTAATGGGAAAAGGGGCGGGGCTTAGGGGCTTATATACGGGCTTTTTTCCATTGCCATAACTTTGAGCTCAAATTTCTTGGCGTTGGTGCGTCCAATTTAAATAGTTTTTGATAGCAATCGATAGAGAAAGACTTGTCGCATCTTTCTCTATCGATTGGTATAAAAACTGTTTAAATTGGACGCACCAACATCAAGAAATTTGAGCTCAAAGTTAGATTGCTAATGGCATACGGGCTTATATACGCGTCCCGCCCCTTTTTCCATTACCATAACTTTGAGCTCAAATTTCTTGGTGTTGAACAATTTAACTAGTTTTTATAACAATCGATAAAGAAAGACTTTGCACATCTAGTGATACAAAGAAAATTTTGATTGAACAGCTCAACATCAAGAAATTTAAGCTCAAAGTTTGATTGCTAATGGGAAAAGGGGCGGCGTATCAAATGTCCGATAACCGCCCAACCCTGGACCACAAAGCTGAACTGGTATTTTGACTGGATTTGACTAGACAGGCCAGGGATACTTGGCTCTAGTTAACCATGGACTGATGATCTTTCTACTGTTACATTGATTTGTGTTCAACTTACAGCTGTTGACGTCGAAGCTGTGCTCGTCGAAGCCGTTGACGTCGATGCTGTACTCGTTGTGCAAAGCCCACAGCTTGAGCCACAATATTGAGCTTTC